AATCGTCTAGAGGGTGGCTTGAAAATTCACAAAATGGTCCTTGTTCCTCCCAGTAACAATAAGAAGAATGGTGCCCTGAGAAAATGTCGTGTGAGTGCTAAGCACAAGGTTAGAAAAGAAACAAGTATCATGTGTGGAGGCTGTGGTGTGGCTCTCTGCAAACTTTCATGTTTTAATGTTTATCGCACGAAGAAAAACTAATAAAGAGGTATGGAAAGGAATTTATTGCATAAAATATTATATTTTAATTAGTTCCTGATAATTTCGTTTTTAAAAACCAATTTTTGTTGAAGTTGTTTAGGAAAAAGTAACTACATGCATTTTAGCGACATAAGGTTTAAAGGGCCTGCCAGGACAGGGGTGGGATTTAAATACCCTTCGCGCCAGTCAAAGAGTTAAGGGTGACATCAGGGTCCTTAAATACTAGCATTAGCGATCCAAGACTTAGACAGCAGAAAGATGTCAAGGCCATGGTGGTGCAATGGTTTATCAGCCCAGACAGTCCTTTGTTGTGGCTAACCATTGGCTGAGGCATACTGGAAAGCCTGCTTCAATCCACATGGTTACTATTTTCAACAGCATCGCCAAAAACAATTTGTGAACAGGAACAAGTCTCTTATAACTGGGTGCATTAACATTAAGAGAATATTGCACTGACCAAGTGGAAATGTGATGTAGTCGCACATCCCGAGCAGCTGCCCAAAACAGATCACTTTGTCTTCTGGTGAGATTCCAATCTCCTTCATCCTGCAACAGAAGTCACATTAACAGACACGACCATGAAAACGAGATAACTGATTCAGACGTAAAGAGCTCATTTTGACACACAAAACGCATACTTCTCTATTGCAAATCGGACGGTGTTCTCGTTGTGACTTGCCACCATGATAGCAATTTTCCTTGCATCCTCACTGCGGTCTTTCAGATCCTTGATGCGACGGAGGCATTCAGTTAGAGTGCGATGATACATCTCAGTTGTGGCTGCAAAGCTGGGGTTGGTAGGGTCCGAGTAGACCAGTGCTGCTGCTCGAGCCCGCTCCTGCACATAACATGAGTCAGTGCTACCATCCCCATAATACCAAACACAGTTTTCTGTTAATCTGTACAAACTGAGGTTCTCACAGCAGTGGTTATGAAGAGTTCTGTCTTCTGGGACATAACACTACGTAGCCTGCTGAAAGTCAACTGATGTTTCAGAAGAGCATATTATGTCCAGAGCTCTGTTTGGGACCTACTTTCATGCTGGTTTCTTGCTTCACTTATTCTTCGACCCTGAAGATGGAAGCTGTATGTTCCGCTGGAATGTCAGCTGACTTTCAATGGACTACAGGGAGTTATATCCCAGAAGATAGTACACTTCTTTTATTTAATGCTCTTACAGAAGACTAAGAAATAATGAAAACAGTTTTTTAAGAAAAAACAACTGGGATTCATAACAGCCAAAATGAATTAATTTGAAGTCAGAATTACAGTCTTGAGATGTGACACTGTGTAGTATAGTAGACAGAGCGCTATATTTTGGATGAACCTGCTGTTTCTATCTTCATGACGTAAGATGGAGTTAACAAGCCCCTTCAAAATATTGGCTCTTATTTACCAGCTTATATGGAATCACATCCCAAAAGATTGTAAACTTGATATTCAGCTCCATAAGAACCTGAAACTTCAGTACCAAAATCCATTTATATATTTTGAAATGAAAATTAAAGGGGTAAAAGAATGAATGCTTTAACTTACACAACCACTGGTTAAGCCAGACCAAGCCCAAAATTTGTTGACAGTCTGAAGAGCAGGCATTGTTTTATAGATAAAATGTTTTCCATGAAACCCGCCATGTCAAATCCAAGTGGACTTCCGTTCTGATTTGAAATGATGGGCCAGCCAAGAAAAATTGTGCCATGAAACATCTTTTATTATGCTTCTTTAAATGAAACCCATTCAGGGAATGTTCTGGATGAATGGGTGGTAATGGTTGTTAAAAAAGTCCCCATGGGCACTGGGGCAGACATTTGCTGATGCAAAAAGGGTTGATCCCCACCACAAAGAATTCCCTGGGCCGCTACTGGAACCACTGTATCGTTGCCTTGAGGTATTTATCAGACCAGAATACGTTAATGGGTTTCATATGAACAAGCATTATAGTGTGACATGTTGAGCTATGGATGACGCCCCTCCCCCCCGCCAGCCGTGATGCGCCGAGCGAAGCCGAAGTGAGCCGAAGTTAGCCGAGTCCTAGCATCCTGGTCGCTATGCAAGCGAGTCAACAGCGATGACGTCACTAAGGGTACCGCGGGTTGCTAGGCAGCGCGGGTGAACAGGATTGCGAGAGACGACAGTAGTAACAGCGGTTACTACCGCTAGCATTGCTAGCAACACAGCGCCAGGCAACAAGGGTGCGTATTACGTGGCCGTTTTCTGTATTGTCCGATCGAGGCTACATGAGGAGCAGCGAAGATTATTCACAGTTAGTCCTGGAGCTACCTCCGAGTGAGTCCTCGAGCTACCTCCAAGTTAGCCAGCAACCAGTCAGTTGTATTGTGGCATTTGGAGTGTAGTATTTGTGATACTGCAGATAGCAGTAGTTCTAAAACTGTCAATTGTGTGATTGTAAGTGTGAATGTGAAATAAAATTCGCTATACCAAATACGGCGTGAAGTTATTTGTCGCGTTATACACCCAATACGCGACAACTGGTGTCAGAAGTGGGATTACGATCTTGAACACGCCGCAACGAATTATACTACCGCACGATGGAGATGGAAATTATTTTTGAACGCCTAGTGGCGATATTAGACGCCGATAGAAAGGCCCGGCGAGAAGAAATGGCCGCAGAAAGAGAAGCTATCCAAGCGGAGATGAAAGCCATCGAAGCAAGGACGGCCACCATACGTGAGAAGAGGTTGCAAGCTAATAAGGATGCCTGGCAGAAAGAGATGACAGCCTGCCAAGAGATGGAGGCACATCTAGAAGAAGAAAAGCCGGCCCCAGTGGACATGAAACCTGAGGCGGAACAGCAAGAAGAGGTCCCTGCAGACGACGTCNTGGACCCCGGATGAAGTTGGCTGCCCCCTGCAGGAAGACATCCCGTCGCGCGACAGTGGCACGACGTTGGAGAATTGCCTTCAAGAAGGAAATTCCCCTGGGAACCTTCGGATGCCAGCGGAAAGAAGTGACCGCCACCGGAATAAAGATTACACCCTGTGTAGGATACAGGCGTATGGGACAAATCAAGAATAAGGTCGCACCGGAAATCACCAAGAAACGGACGTTCGGGAAGAGACTGTGGAAAGGCCCGGAACGCAACACTGGCATCAGGAACCGAGGCCTGAGACAGCAACTACAACGCAGAAATGAAGTGAAGGACCTAGGCGGCGGACAGCCGCGATATGTGAAGGAAGCAGACCGGAGAAAAACTGCAAGACTGCAGATCGCCAAGTGGGTAGCCGGATTTTCTGTCTGCCTACAACACGGCAAGGATTGGACCTTGTGGAGGGGACACCCCCTCCAAAACGGAAAAAGAGACTTCAAGCAGAGGAGGAACTGGTAGTGTAGAAGTACCAGCCTCCCAAGGAAGAATGAAAGTGACGGATGAATGGGACACAACTGGATCTTCTGGCGAGCTGAAAGGAAACTGCTCGAGACGAGCTTTGTCTTAAGAGGGGAGCGGATGTAACGGACGAAGAATAGTCGCTGCAAGAAGAGTAGCCGAAACAACAGGAGACACCGCAAGCACAGCTACGGGACGGAAAAGGAACGGGGGTGCACCGTTAGGCTATTCGAGACGAACAGCCTTAAGGAGGGAGCAGTGTGACATGTTGAGCTATGGATGACACCCCTCCCCCCTGCCAGCCGTGATGCGCCGAGCGAAGCCGAAGTGAGCAGAAGTTAGCCGAGTCCTAGCATCCTGGTCGCTATGCAAGCAAGTCAACAGCGATGACGTCACCAAGGGTACCGCGGGTTGCTAGGCAGCGTGGGTGAACAGGATTGCGAGAGACGACGGTAGTAACAGCGATTACTACCGCTAGTGTTGCTAGCAACACAGCACCAGGCAACAAGGGTGCGTATTACGTGGCCGTTTTCCGTATTGTCCGATCGAGGCTACATGAGGAGCAGCGAAGGCTATTCACAGTTAGTCCTGGAGCTACCTCCGAGTGAGTCCTCTAGCTACCTCCGAGTTAGTTCCGAGTTAGCCAGCAACCAGTCAGTTGTATTGTGGCATTTGGAGTGTAGTATTTGTGATACTGCAGATAGCAGTAGTTCTAAAACTGTCAATTGTGTGATTATAAGTGCGAATGTGAAATAAAATTCGCTATACCAAATACGGCGTGAAGTTATTTGTCGCGTTATACACCCAATACGCGACAATATGTTATCCACAGTGCAGCTGCTAAGAATAACATCCCTCTTCATAGTACTGTGACATGACAACTGAAGGTCAGAACAGTGGCAGGTAAACATGTTTCCACAGCAATGGATATACATACAACAGACAAACTATCAAAAGCAGCGTTTTCTATGCGGTCCATACCGAGGCTACATAATGACTGGCCAAAGCACTTGGTGAAAAAGATAGATGCATGAGTCCCACAGAGCTCAGAACCAAGAAAGACTGTGCTGGAAAGAGCCAGACTGGCGAGACAGTAAAATATCGTCACAAGTCTTCAAGGACCAAGACCCAAGAATGACTGCTGCTGAGGATCATCAGGAAATTACCCAAACAAATGAAGTAGTGAGAGTCAGTTGCATAACCCCCAGAGTTGTAAGAGAGTAAAATATGGTCACGAGGCATTGGGACTAAAAAGCGGAACCAGATGTGACTGTGCTGGGCCAGCAGCAATTCACCTGACCCTGAAGAAGTTGCAGCTGCTGCCTGGCTGTGAGCATGGAACCAGAAGAATCTCCACATTAGAAGGCACTGCTCAGCAATGACTGGTGATGACACAACAAACCGGTGTGCACTATAGTGACTTTTAGAGTGCACAAATCAGTGAGAGCATTACAGTTATTTACATTTATTATCAATCCAAACCCCATGTCTAGTCACTGACACATGATAAGCATGTAGCTGACCTGCTCCAGATATGCCCCCCGAACAAGCTTGGCTCCAAAGTAAAAGTTCTGTCGCTTTGCCTGCTCCAAGTCGTTTGTAGCCTCTTCATAGGTGTTCTTCAGGTAGCACTGGTATGTGTTGAATACCACAGCCTGCACACATTACATTACATTAGATCAGAATACAGCCATGGAAATTGAACAACAATTTTGCTATGACTGTTCTATTTATCACCTTATGGGATTGTTACGAATTGTGGCCCTCACCTTTTCTTTGTTGTACTTTCGCATCATCTCAAGGGTGATTCGGGAGATGGCTGGTTGAAAGTATGTCTGCTCTGCATCCACCATGATGCGTACATCCAGCTCCGCTGCCATCTGGCAACAAAACATTCAGCTCTTTTACTGTGAATACGGATGCTGAAGGTTAAACCGTAACACTGATACATATCAAACTACACAGCGTCATATCCAAGAAAACAATAATTTTGAAAATATGAGTTGGCATCACACATGCTTTCATCATCCACATTTTCTCGTATCTGTTGTTTTATTTCTCTCATGAAATACATCACTACCCCACCCAGAGATACTCAGAAGCTGCCATGCATGGCTATTGAATTATGTGTGTAGTGTCCTAACATGTCCTACCATTCTGACTGTCACGTCACATCCTGCTCCTGCACCATGTTCAGTGCACGTTCAGTTAAGTTTACACATTTTCAGTGTTTGTGGTCACTTTCAGTATCATGATCTCCAGATACAGGGAGTTGCCTGTACTTTCAAAATGCATTAATTTAGCGTCCAGTATGCAAACAAGTACCAATTCCTTCTTTACATTATTTCAGCCATAATTACTAAAAATAGAAATGTAAAACAACGTAATCTGTGAAACACACTCATTTTCCAGCATCTCTGCAAACTGGTGAGAACACTAACCGAGTTACCAAGGTAGGAAGACATCTTCTGTCACCAAAGCTATATAAATTACACAGTGATGTAACACTGCACTGTGTTGGCCAGGCTGGACAAGGAATAAACAAATACAAACATTCCACAAGCTGTGTTGATGTTGGCTGACTGCCTGTTCAACATGAATGTAATGAAATTATTGTGTTTTGGACATCATCCTGTTTTTTATTTAAAAAGTTTTGGAGACTGGATTCTGTCTCTGTCCTCAGGTAGAAACCTACTCAGTTGGGCCCAATCGATAGAGCTAGTCCCTATCCCCAGAGATAGCAGACAGAATCCTGTCTCTGAAACATTGTTTTAAATAATAATAATAATAATAATAATAACAATAACAACAACAATAATAATAACAACAACAACAACAACAAGAATAACAGGATGGATATTGTCCAGACAACAGAATAAACTTCTAGATCCTATCTACGAATGTAACATTTACTGTGACTTCTGTTTGCTGAACACTGGTGTATGCGAGGGACAGCCAAAGGATGCAGAAGGAATACAGGAACTCACCCTGCACAGATTATTCATGCGTCGCACCATGTTGCGAAACATCTCCTCCTCCTTAGGTGTGAGCTGTGTGATTAGGCGAACCATGCGACCTGTTTTGAGGTCTGGCACACGGAATGTGTCACTCAGCTGCTGATTCTCATCCACAATGCCACTCCAGGGGAACAAATGAATAACTCTGCACATACAAGCAACATCACATAACAGATGGGTTCCATCTCAGGTATCGGTGCCAGATTTATGTATAAGCTAATTATGCTATAGCTCAGGGTCTCGCAATCCGAGAGACCTCCAAATATAAAATAGAAAAGTCATCCATGACTTAAAACACAGCATTCTGTTGCAAAGCCTTGGAGCAGACCCATAGAAAACACCACTTCCTCTATTGTTGCGTGCTGATTCACCGTTGCAGAGATGTGTTTACTGCACAGTTGCATAGCAATGAGCACGGGATGGACCCACAGAGAATGCCGCTTGCAACATCACTTCTATTGTTGCATGGCATCAGAGTGTACATGACACATTTCTCTGCTGCATGTAAACAAGCCATTACCTAGCAACGGCTGTTTCTCTGCCTGCACAGTTCTTACTTCGAGCACTTATGCCACAGTATTCACCTGATGTTGGTCTACAGACTGACACATGTCATGTGATTTTTATAATAAACTGACTGTTGTATTATATATGTATGTTCCAATCATTTATACAATTAAAATCAACCAACTTATTATTATGTCAGCAGCCCCAGAGTCAGTGACAATGATATGTAACAGTATGCAAATATAAAAATAAAACAAGTTTCTTAAGCTGCGGCATTCACTTGAAAAATATTTGGTTATCTTGTTAAATTATCTTGCCATGAAAAAATTCCTCCCAAGCAAATATTCAAATAAAAACCTTCACTGCTGGATTGGAGGTTCTCATGGCGACCGAGAAGAGTACTGCTCCCACTTTCACGGCTGAAGAGTAAGCCAAGCAAGAAACCATGAAGAAGCAAACAGCTGTTGGCAAACTCTACCAGACTACACAGCGTCACACACCAGAAGACAGTACTCTGCACAGCTGCTGCTGTGAGAACCTCAAAATTATTATCACGTATTTCTACAATACATTTTATAACAAATTTGTAGCGGTGTCTTCTCTATCGCACAAAGTTCCTAACGAAGTCTTAACCTGGCTCTGCTTAGTTCCAGATAGAAACACAATACAACAGCTACACTCACCCTTCCTCGTCATAGGTCAGCTGCTTAAGGAACTTCTTAACCGTCTCTTCCTCGAGGCCTGCCTGTAAAAACTTCTTTTCCAGTTCCTCCACATGAACGTGATGCATCAGAACATTGCCCTCCCCTCCCAACACTTCTGTCATGTACTTTCTTGTGCGCATGATCACTTCAGACAGCTGCAACTGCAACACATTACATACATTACAGATACACTCTCACAGGCATGGCTCAATATAACACAGTTCTAAACACGTATACAAACACCAAGTGATCATGTCTTTCTTATAATACAACTAAGATTTGAAGCCACAGCACAGTGAAGCTGTTACATACTGTCACATATGGAAAGTTTCATAAACACAGAAATTTTCAGCCCTTGGCACTTGTACGGTTAAGGCATAATGTTGCCATACTCTTTTGTGTACCTGTATAATATAATGGACAATTACAAGAAAGTGACAGGATATAAACCATATGTAGGAACCTGTACAACTTACCAGCAGCTGTGGACGTCCAAGTGCTGTCAATTTGACGGCACATATTCCTGTCCCAAAAGTAGCACCTGCAATATGAAAATCTCTGTTTAAACAGCTGCTGTATTAATAATGCTAGCAGATTAATTAATTTTATTTATGTAACATCACGAGACCTAACATTGCATCAATTATGGTGTGTGGGGTAAGTTCACATTCACTACACACAAGTGGGGGTGAACAGCTGACAGGCTTCTTGCAGTGGCTACAGTGTGACATCAGGAAATAAAACGGTGTATCATCTGGGGCACAGGGCTGCCAATGGATCAGTATTCTCAATCAATTAACCATTCTCTATTAATAAATTCTTTAATTATTTAGTACAGAATGTCTTATAAACTATTCTAAATAAAATATAATTAATACCAATTACTCAAGTTTGAAGTACTTGCACTAAAATTTCCATAGTTGAAGACAATGGCCTCACTGTTAATCAATGACTTAACATTTCTGTCAGCAGATGGACTCACATGTGACATACTGATGTTCAGAGAAAAGAACAGGCTTTCCCACAATTTATATCAGCGGTTGTTTGAAGGTCATGTGTGAAAGTATCATGGGGTCTTCTATACAATGGCATTTACACCCAAGCAGTCTCAGCAGTCAAAATGTTAAATGGTACCCTGCCTGCCTTTGCAGCTACACTTGAATGGCACAAGTCCCTGGTACTGCATGTGGATACAGAATGTATCTTAATTTAAAACTTCTTTGGTGTATATCACTAAATAAAATACAACCACTGGTCAAAGAAGGATCACAAGGCTGCAACCTGTTCATGACCAAACAAAATATTTGCATAATCTACGCACTAACTTCAGTGCGTCCTGGAGATTAGTATGGGCATTTGGACTGAGCAGCCGAACATGTCTTGAAAGTTAAACAATTATGTGAAGTCTCAAGATGCGGACTGATAGTTCAGGATGCATTTGATTGACACCACAAATACAAGCTTCATGTATACACTCTGGATTGCATGGTTTCTGGATACTGCAGGTTGTCCAGTCTTCTGAAAGAACACATTACAAAAACTGGACCTGCTTCTGTCCTCAGATGAAAGGGTGCAGAGGCACCAAATCAGGTGGGTCCATTAAAAACAGGTAAACCCAATCACTGGATCTGTGATGGAAATCACATCTTTGTAATGAACCTAAGTGTGTGACTCCCCACGTTTACAACTGAGGCTGGAGAGAGATGCAGTTTCTGAAGCACTGTGTTCTATTCAGGATACTACATGACAGTAAAACGAATGTGAAGTTGTTCCTGTGATTAATTCATTAAGCATCGCATCACAAAGATGCATGGATGAATCAGTGTACAGTTATATCAGCCTTGACATCAGCACTAGATGGAGCTGAGTGGTCAGCTTAATGCCAAGGAAGAGCCCCTGGCACCCACTGGATAGGAGGCTGGGTGAGCCCCAGAGATGACCTTGATGTTCTGAGGAAGAGAACAGTATCTTTCCCTGCTGAAAAGTGTCCACAAATCTAGCAGTCCCAAGTGTAATGCATTATTATCAGAACTGTTTCGAAATTATTCAGTTTTATAATTCAGAGTTTTTAAAGGACAGATAACATACGAGTATATCTCAAATACAGCAAATGCATAGGTAAAGTTATTTTAAATTGTAGTTTATATTCTAAATTAAAAAACTACTAATTTAGGTCACGTACCTGAATTATGTCAAATAGGAATTAAAGACTTCATTAATGAGAGTGATTAACTGATTTTAACAGCCCTGCTTCTCACTACTACTACATTTTGCTTCCATATGCTGCATCCCTCATAAGAAATTAACATTTAAAAAAACCGTGGTTACTATATGTACCACCTACTTTAACATTAAAAAATCTTTGAGTTTTGCTCTCACAGTATGTTTCGTATGATTCTCACAACAAATAATGACTGTCTCTCTAAACAGCATTAGCAGGCAGGCCCTTGTAATGGTAACGCACTGTGTTTTTCTTGTGAGGTATGAAGTGAATTTATAAACATTTAGTCAAATTTCAGACTTCAAAGTGTTATGCAATAGATTTTTGTAGCACCTTAGCCACATGGTAGGGTTCTGCAGTGATAACATCCTTCAATAGAATTTGCATGAATTATACATACACTACTACAGGGGGGAGTATATTATAAATGTAGAGTACTATTTTTCAGGATGACGCAGTTTAGTCTGGTGTATCATTAGCGATATTTCAGAAGAACATGGCACCTTCACCTTCTGGACTGAAGAGTAAGTCAAAAAAGCAAGCAGACTTTACACACTTGCTTGGGTTAAGTTTTGATCCTGAAGCTTGAGACAGCGTGCAAGTTATCTTCATGTTCACTTCTATGAGAACCTTGAGTTCTACATTTTAAGTCCTTGGAAAGTATGAAATGGCCAAAACAAGAAAACCATGGACAATTCAGGGTCACGAAATTCAGCAAAGAAATATTTTGTATATCTAACAATTTTAAATACAGAACTGTGGAAGGAAACGCATCCTTTATCTGAAATGACCCACATGGAAAATGTATTGAGGGCCAGCTGCTAGTTTCATTCTCACATGAAGTCATTATTTATAACCACAGCTTTAATGTAACATAACACAGACATACAAGACCTCCCACAATACAGAACTGAACATTTTAACAACTCATGAACAGAAATAAAACTACGGGCTATACCTACTCCATACACATCACTGCAGCACTAATTTTGTGGGGCTTAACCCACAACTGTGCCCAAGTGGACACTCTACACAGTAGTTAACTTGTTCCCTGGTGCTACATTTCATTCTCCTCCAGAAGTCATCTGTGATTGGGCTCCATATTCTAATGAAGTTTATAATATGGGCACAGGAGATAATCCAATGTGTGCTGCATATATCTGAAGTGTGTTGGACCCACAGCACATGAAATATGCATGTCATATGGCAGCCAACATGCTACAAGACTTGCCTGACGCCCTCATCAAGCTCTCCACAATACATGGCTTTAATCAGTGGATATATCCTTATTAAGGTTCTTTCTTCCACCCATATTTGCTCTAAACTCTACTCAGGTGATGAACCACATCAAAGATGTGTTAAAAACCAATGTTTTGGAGAACTTATTTATCTCCAAATCACTGATTTTTAATTCAACATGACCAATCACCTGAAAGAATTTCTGTGTGCTTGTTCTCTGTGAAAGCTTCAGACCATTCACTGTCTACTAGTTATGCTTCACAAACTTCCCCTGCATCGTGGGAGATCCTGCCTTGTTCACTCAATGACTCGCTTTATGTTACACCTGAACTTCTGATCAACATATAAGGTTAAAGAGGGATACACAATTTTATGCACAGACACTGATTTTCTAGGGGAAGAAAATGTTGATGTAACACACAGTAAAATGCTGGAAATATGACAGACTTGCTCAGGTCACTGCTGCCACCTGGCAGCAATCTACATCACTAGAACCAACCTCCTCATGATCCTCCAAAGCGGTATTACAAATGGCTACACCATCTGCTGCACGCTACACTCCCCGTCCCAGAAGATTATGTAAGAATTTAAACATAAACTTTCTTCTTACTATTTTAATATTATAATTCTTTCTACTGTATTATTTTTAAACACATTTTTTATTTTATTTTATTATCAAATAAAACCAAAAAACAACTGTAAATGTATGTGTGTCTGATATGTTTCAACTCACTGCCATCTTCATGTGCATCAAAACACTCAAAATGAAGCTACTGGTCTCATATTCAAGTTCCTTCTAGAAGGAACACAATTGAACTCTTACTGCACAATTTTTGGTAGTGAACATGGAGTTAAGATAAATATTTTATGACCCAGAGAATAATTAATTCACATTTACAATTTAATGTAGAATTTCAAGTAAATTGAAGAAATCTGATATGTATAGACATGTCAAAACAGCAATACAAAACAAAACACGGCTTCTTAATCAATAATTTGTTCTTTCAGATCCATTTCATTTTATCTAACACAAGTATCATATCATACATGTAAGATTCCATTACTGGCTATGAACAGCTGACCTACTGCACCAACATATTTCAATACTAGAAATTAGAGTAACAGGCCTGAGCAGGTTGCATTCCCTCATTTTGCTGTGTGTGTTGCATCCACTGCAAGAGAGCCATCACCACATTTAAGCCCTAGTCCACCCCCACTCTCATTATGCTAAATGTCATGTGATAAAAAAAGCAGTATGCTGCAAACAGCAAATAGATAAAATGAGTTTTTCTGAGATAAATTCCACGACTTCCACCTATCTTCTCCATTTGTCAAGAAGAGTTGGTGGCACCAGTGCAGCGGTCCAGATGTTGCTCTCTCGCTCTCTCTTGAACCTCGCTGCATGAGCTTTAGCTCTCAGCTCGTCCTCATTCGCTTGGAGATCCAACCAATCACAGGGTTGGACCTCTGTCTTGTAGCACCTCATCACTACATCCTCCACTAACACCCACACTTGCAACAGGTGTGTATCATCCATAGCAACTGATCTACTTACCCACACTCAGCCATGTTACCACCAGCCATTCAACCAACTACCTTACACCTGGATAAGAAAGTACGGTGTCTTCATAAAGCCATGGCTGAGATGAAGTGTTTGCCATTTTGTAACAAAACATGCTAAACATGAATACAACAGCAAAAGAAAGAGAAACCTTCAGTTTCATTTCTGTACTCAGGAAAGTTGCGGTGAACCTCTCCGATCGTAAAAGAAATGAAGGAATTCTGACAGGGATACAAATTCTATAAATAACAGCATTTATAGAATGCTTACGACACTGGCAAGAACATATTGAGAGGAGGAGCTCTAAAGTAACTGGAAAAAAGATCTTACAATTATGACCAAAAGAAAAAAAAATGAAGTTTTGGAAAACATTTAAAACAATGGAAGGAATCCATTTTCAACATCAGTAACAGTCTTAGTAAGTCTCATACTGGAAGTGACGATGACAACGCAGTCAAGTTCAATATGAGTCCACGAACAAAAACATCTCAAAAGTGACTGAATTTGCTGCCATTTGTCC